CCAGTTACGTCTCAACTGTTGCCCAAAACATCTTGCGACAGCCATTCATTTCATCTGTTTGTGGACCCTTTGAACACTGCTGTAGAAGGCAGTCCTGAAGGGCTTCACCCTCAGATGATAAAAAAGTGAATTATTGGTTTGTTTATCATGCTCTTAAAACCTAAAGTGCATTATTAAACAGAGAGCACATTAAAAGGGGAGTATTGTTAAAAGTGTTTTAAAAATCTTGTAAATCCCAGTAATTTATGTCACTGTGGTCGAAGAGGCTCGCCCTGGCCTTCTGGTTTTAATTTGCTCTAGGGTCTGTACCTGTGATGCTGCCTTTTTTCCCAGACACAATCTGACCAATGAAATGGAACCCAAGCAGAGCAGCAGTGGCCTTGTATAAAAATAAATAAATAAATGAACAAAAAAAGCAATTTACTGGCTAAAAAACCAATTAATCACTTTTCCATAACAAATAACAAAAAGGCAAAAAGGTCAAAAAGATTTGTGAACGGACATCAGTCTTTTCATTCACAGTGTTTTCTTCTCTATTTTGGGAATCTGCATCTATATTGGTGATGATGATTTATTATGAAGATGCTTTCAATATTTCGTTTTTTAAATGTCACATTTCTCACTAGTACTGGAATACTGAGACACTCGAATACAAAATGAGAAAAAAACAGGGATGTTGAATATAATGAGGGGAATCCAGAAACTTCTAATGAAAACAGTAACAAATAAGTCCACAGTACTAGCACCTGTATGAGAATGAAGTGTTTAAGAATACAGAGGTGGTTTGAGAATTAATTTAAATTAGAAGTGTTGTGCGTACATCATGGTGATGTCGTTTGAGTAAAAATCCCATCATCACCTAAGTTAATGGGACTCATCCTTTAAATATTTGTAAAAGACTTTGTGTCAGTCCATTAAATCTAAAAGCTATGATGCTATACTTGACAGAATAAATGAAAACTTGACTTGTGTAGTGTGCTGATAGTGTAGTAATATAACAGTATCACCAAGTCAAAGCCACTACATCCTCTGAGCACTAGAAAATGTTTCCCAGTTATTTATTCATCCACTGTTGTGAAATATCAGTGTCACTGGTGGAAGAATGAGGAAACCTGAAAGTTGTTGGATTTATCCTCTGGGAATCATGAACGTCTACTTATCAAATAGACATGAAGATATATGAGTCTGGATCAAAGTTGCAAATGGCCATATTCTTACAGTTGAAAGATCCGCTGTGTTGATGTAAAAATAAATAAATAAATAAAAATAAAAACAGCATATGCATTTTTAAGTAGCTGTCTTTCTGTATTATTTGATATCCTAAGTGTGTGTGGCACTGTATTTGGGTTTTTTTTAATATAACTCTTGGATGTTGGCCTCACATAACCCACAGTGAATTTGAAAAATTCAGTTTCCTTTTCCCAAATAAACACACTTCATCCAGCATGAGTCATTTCTGCAGGCTATGTCTGACCATTGTTTGACATGAGCCTCTGCCCATGCTGACAAGTGTAAGAGAAAACAAAACAAAAAATTTCAACATTTTGGACTGACTCTGCATCAGTCTAAAGGGTTGTGACTGGGCCCTGTCTGTGGCCAAAACCTGTTCCAGCCTCTGGGGACTCCCTGGCAAAGGCAACAATGGGTCAGAGCCCCTCCTTTGTGCAGTTGCCCTCCTTAATCAAACTAGCCAGAGGAGTGATTGGATTTTAATACTGCTGGGCCTACCGTAATAGTGTGATGGACGGGGGACTGGTGAATTGGAGCAAGATGTCAGCCCTCAGAGGCCTCCATTAATGATATTGCTTCATTTCTTAAAGTGGCAGGACTGTCTTGGGACGAGGGGATCACAGCAGTTGGCATACAGAGCCCTCCCCTCCCTTTTTGTACCCTCTTCCCCCTTTTTTCATTTTGTTCTCTTTATCTCTCACTGACTCAGGACCATTTGTGCTGCTCCCTGTGTGTCCTCAGTGCCGAGGACCATTTCTTAAGCTGGTCACAGTATGTGGGCGTTTCCAGGCTGCTGCTGCTGCTGCTGCTGCTGCTGCTGCTGCGGCACTGATGAAAAGGTGGACCTAACGCCTGTTTTTTAGGAAAGATTTTGCATTGATATTTAAAAATATTTCCACATCCAACAGATGCAAATAGATGTATAGCACACATATATAAAATTACGTATACTTCAGTGAGTGCATATATATGTGTTTTTGACAAACTATGGCCTCCCTTGGATGAAAAGATCAATATAAACTTGAACTTAATTTCCCTCTTTCATGAAAAGATGAGTCACTGTATTTGAAGCTGACAGGAACAGTATTTCAGCGGCATTTACATTTCATTTTCTGCTCTGAATGCTATAATTAAAGGTTATTTCTTTCCAAATTTTAACTCGTGAGTCAGGAGGTTAATTGAGCTTTAGTCCTAAATCTAAAACACAAAGACTTCCTAAAAACATTCTTGAACTCCTGAACTGACACTGATATGACCCTCACGAACGCCAGTGTGTCTCCCTCAAACCTTTTGATGCCGTTTCTCATCTTAAGTGACTCACGCTCACTGCCTCATTGTTTGCTTCCAGTGACACTTGTTTATCCTTTTTGTTCGGCTAATGACAGTTTTCCTTCTCAAAGGGAGGTGGCAAGTACAGGTGAACCCTCATTGTGTTTTATAGCAAGTCATTGTAAAGCGGGGCGGCTCCAGCCTTTCTCTCTCCTCCTAATGGGTGTTGGTGTGTTGTTTTTGCAGTAGATTTATGTGTGGGTGGGGCGCTGTGATTTACAGAGATCTGACACTGTCTCAGCAGCGATACCAGAGAGGCTGATTGTGGCTCTCTGTGTGTGTTCCAGGTAAGCCTGAGGTCTTCTCACCATCCCTGCTCACGCACACAACATGCCCAGAAACTTTTGCATGCACGGATGAGAGCATGCATGCTTCAGTGCACACACATATGGCTTTTGTGGTGTAATGCAAGTTGCTACTGTTGCAATGTCTTTCCCAACAGATTCACCTAAAGTACCATAGAATATAAGAAAGAAACTTTGCTGCATGCAAAGTTCCCTCCTTTTGCAGTTTTAACTCATTTAAATCGAGATAGAAAATTGGCCTTAAAAAATAAAACATGTCGGTCAAAATAGGTCACAGCACATAAAGGGACAATTTTTTTAAATTCAGCATTCTAAAATATCTCATCACACCTCAGGGATGTTAAATGTTTACAGGATAATATGTGGATATTTACTCACTGTGTCATTTTCCCGTAAAAGCAGCATTTATTCTCCAGGATCAATAGTGCACAAGATGCAAGGTAATACACACAGATGTTGACACTATCCTTTCATCATCACTGTAACCTAAGAGTACAGATGATTAAATTCTTGTCACCAGATGTTAAATTGGCTATTACCCATCTAAGATAAATTGGTCCTTAAATTTCACATTTAACACCTTGCCAGAGGTGGAGAAAACGTGTAAATACAGAATAAGATGCATTGAATTTCATACTGAGGGCAATGCTTGTTTTTTTTTTGTTTTTTTTGGCTGTTTCACATTAGAACAAATAAGACAAATAAAGATATTTTTTTTATTTCATAGGAATCAATAATTTTTAAAGGAGTAATTCATTTCTAGGTTTGCTTCCTAGTTAGTTAGCCAGAATGCCAGAATAAGTAGACTTTGCTTCACATCTTTGTCATATTAAATTATTTAATTTTAATAAATCTACTGAGACCCTCAGTCAACTCATTATTTCCAAACGTGTTCTCTTACCCCACCACACTGAGCCCCCTTTTGTCTTGTTTCTCTCTCTCTCTCTCTCTCTCTCTCTCTCTCTCTCTCGCCCGCTGACTCTCTCTCTCTCTCTCTCTCTCTCTCTCTCTCTCTCTCTCTCTCTCTCTCTCTCTCTCTCTCTCTCTCCCTCTTTTAAAATAGAACAAAACGTCCAGATATGTCTCTGCATTAAGTCAGTTTGTCAGAAAGCTTCCCTTGAGAGTTTTGGACTTGAAGTTCGTCCCGGCTGTTCCTCTGCTGGTGGCCCCCAAAGCTACACCAAGGTCACAGTGGAACTCAAGAGTCGAAACTTTCGCAGAGACTTTACAGAAATCATGCACACGCCACTTTTACAAAATTTCGACTATGTAGTAATGCTAATTGAACAGTATGAGCTCACTTTTTTTTCTAAAAGCAGTTTTCTGTCGTTCACTTTTTTTCTTTTTGTTTTTCTATCCGTACGAAATTCAACCTTTCTAAAAGCAGAATATAAACTGTCTTGATGAGAAAATCAGAGACGGTCAACATCAGGATGTTAGTTTAATAATAACACTAATAATAATAATAATAATAATAATAATAATTTGTGGTCTACCAATGGCAAGGCTGTTAGATTAAGTGGGTGGTTCACATAATATGACAGTTCTACGTTTTTAAAAATTACTTATGCAAGTCAAATCGACACAAAGTACATTAATCTCTTTACTCTGTGTCCCATTTTTTTGTCTATGTGCCTAAATAGTTGGATAGCTTCACTTTAACCACTGATTACCTAAAATTCATCAAAAGAAAAAAAAAGAAAAGGAAAAACGAGTTCGGAGTGTCTTTATTTTTCTGTATTATTATTTTAACTTTATCAGATGTAATATCACATTTAGTAAACGGCAAACTGCTACGTTTGATGAACGCGAATGTGTATTATGAATGTGTTCGTGTTCAGTGCAGGATTACTGTAGATTATTACTAAAAATTACCAAGCAAGAAAAAGTAAGAAAGAAAGCAGCAATTTCATGAGGAAATGACTTCATTGGGGCCTAAAGAGCTCAAGATAAAATAGTGCCGTAGCAATACCTAGAAAACGTTAAAATTTAACAGCAATTAAGGATCATTAATAAGAATAAATAATAATTATAAAGTGATGAAGGTCCATAAATATCTGACCCGTTCTATTAAATCGTATAGAGTGCCATTTTGAATATTAGCTACAGTTGTTGTTTGGGGGGGGGGGGGGGGGGGGGGAGAAACGAATGCAAAAACGGATGTGGAAATCCAAAACGAGGCATTGTTATTTCATTGTGCATTTCTTGTTTTTCTCTAGAAAACAGAACAAAAACTTGTCGAAAAAAAATCAAATAAATAAATAAGTGATCCACTCGTGAAAGATGCGTCTTGAGGAGGGCGGCACTGCTACTTCCCTCCTGATCTAATTACGCCCACCCCTCCACCAATTAGAGAATTACATCACACCTTTAAATGGACTCCTCCTCTTAATCATTAATGACATCGTGTCACTCCCTCCAACAGCATCTAGTTGCACTGTGGCAACATGACACGCGCAGACTCGTTATCAGCTCTGCTAGAAGTTAATCGGGTGTCGGTGGTTCTGGGTCAAAGTTGGGAGGTATAGATTTAACAGGGTATCTGTCATAGCTTTAATGCAACGAACCGGGATACAACAAAGCCTACAATGTCTCCATTAAAATTAAGTCTGTATGGAAAAGAGTGAGAGCTGCAGACAAAGTAGCCTTAGGTGCGTGTGTATTAGTGCGTCTACTGAGCAGGGATCAGCGGTGTTTATTTTGGTTCTTATTTAACACACTGGGAGGAAACGCCCACTGATGGACGTGATAGAAGATCGTACTCCCAGCAGCTGGGCTACTTAAGCTCATTGTATAGATGTCAGAGGGTCTGATCTCTGATCTGTATTGGCAGCGCGGGATCGCATAAGAACTGAAAACACAAGATGGAAAATGAACTTCACACCCGAACGCCTGAGTCAAATGATTTTTGTCGAGTGTAATTGCGCGTTTAAAGGTTATTGAAGAGTTCGCCCTTTTCTAATTCAGTGAAAGTTCTCTCTTTTTCAGTTACATTTGAAGCATGTCCGGATTTTAAAACAGACTTGAAGAGCATCTAAGCAAAAAAGGAATTATTTTTCACTTTAAGCAGAATCGATGATGTAACTCCACAAATAAAGCCTGAGCTTGTGTTATTTTAACAAATGTGGCTCGATTTGATTTTATTATTTTTTTATTATTATTGTTTTAAAATAATAATAGAAATTGCAACAGCGTCCATACATTATAGGAAAACGTCCCTTAATGATTTTCTGGGAGGGAGAGTTAATAGGCCTCGCATTCTTGCCTGTAAACGCCATTGTTATTCCTCGCTTATCTATGTTATCTTAATCAGCTCGCATTGTTTGCCTATCTTATTTGAAATAGCTCGATTACAAATCTATTATCTGCCCTTTGTCATTCAGCTTCACAATTAAGACACTGACAGAGCACGAAAAACAAAAACTGCAAACATTTGTTTTGGTGAAAAGGCGCCCGGTGTAAATACGAAAAATAAATCACTATATTGAGTCTAAAAGAAAGGAAACGATGCTCAAAAATGTTTCTAGTTATTTCCGATAGAAATCGATTAAGAGAATTATCCGAAACCATTAAGTCTGTTGTTGGCACTGAAGACGCTTTTCACTCTTGTATCTTCCCTTTTGTTTTAGATTCCACAGAACCAAAAGTGCATGGAGTGAGAAATTCTTTAGAGCAAATGTAATAGACTAAATACCTAACAAAAAAAAATTAAAGTGAGTAAATTCCTACGTACATCTTAAAATGCTTTATCCACAGATTTCACATAAATGATGACTTTGGTTTGTGTGTGGTTTGTTACACAGTGCAAGATATGCCAGTCCATTTAGTCTGAGCTGTCATCTCGGCTGACCCGAGTGCAATAACGCAATTTAGTAAAGGAAAATAAACCGAAGAGGAGAAGTGACCCTTTACGAGCTGCTCTCAGTTCCCCTCGGTTACGAGGGGCTTTGCTGAGGGTTTGAGTGTGTCAAAGGTGGGGGGTGTTTAGTTTGTTGTGGCTTCAGTCAGTGTATCGTTTGCAGGTGATGCCAGGACTAGATAAGAGGTCGCCGATCCCTGCGCGCTGTCTAGACCGGCTTGTGACTCAACTAGAGTAACTGGACTGAGCAGAATTTACAGCAGATTTTTGCCCCCGAGATAGTAAATGACCACTGGCCGATTCCTGCCATATAACCGAAGGGGAATACACCGCAAGATGGAGGGGGGTGATAAGACCACAGAGCCAGCTTCACTTAGGTTGAACAGGACAAACAACATATTCAGCGTAGCAGAAATTAATGCTTTTAAAATACGAAACACGCCCTAGAATGAAATTTGTAGGTAATTTGTTGCTGTGTTTTTTTAATCAGAAATTACACGCTGTCAGGAAGAGTGAAAATCTGTTCCCTGTATTTGGGACTGGACTGAATTTACTTTTATCACAATAAAAGCGCCTGAAAATCTTAATTAGGTCCATAAAGTGGCAGATGGGCAGTAGTTACTAATTTTAAAGCGTTTTTTAAAATATATTAAATTGCATTGCTTTATAAATGCACATGTGAAATAATAATGCGCCTGTACAATGACTGGTCACGAAGACACTTTATGTATTCAGTGTTTTTATTTTTTTCTCAGTTAATAATCCCTTAGCGAATCGCTTTCCTAACAATAAATAATATAACAATAATTTACTTTTTGTTCGAGAAGCTCAAACAACCTGTTTCTTGCCCTTAAGATAAAATATTTTACAACACGAATACTTTGCAGATTATCATGCTCTGACCTTAAGACAAAACGTCAACTGGACTCGACAACGAAATGAATGTATCAAAAATTCTCATGTTGAAAAAAAACAAGACACATTATGATCACATTAAATTGCAAGATGTCCATCTGGATCACCGTGGAAATGTTTCCAATTTGTTTCTGACGGTTGGTTTGTTGTAATATATCCATCGGGAGGTATTCTGTACATCTTCGTTCTCCGTATCAAGTCATGCAACAATTGTTCTGCTCAGTTTTTTGTCAATGAAAACTCCGGAAAAAAAGAAAGAAAAAGAAAAGTCGGAGTCAAATGGTGCTCTCTTGGTTCCGACTTCTGCGTGTCAGGAAAAAAATGCTTTCTCCACTGAAAATTCGGGCGATGTGATGAGTTGGTCACATGCAAGGGACCGGGATCATGCTGCAACTGTCCTTGCAGGAGGGATGACCATTAGGTCTGGATGGCCCCGTTTCACGTCTCCACCGGGCTGGGTACCATACTGTTCGGGGTGTCCGGTAACTGAGAAGACAAAGAAGTCACGTCGCTGCCCGAGGAGTTCCCGAGAGATCCCGATTCAGAGAAAGACACCTGAGAGCAGAAAACAACGTACCAGAATACTGCTTTAGTACCTTTTTTTTAGTTTTTGTTTTTTGCAAGTGTGAAAGTGTGAAAGTCCAGCTTTACTTTTGCAAAGCACACGACGCACACGTGGCCCAATATAATTACTTTGCATGTGAGTGCGTGCATGTGTTGCATATCTGTATTTGACCGCATGCTACAGAATTTACTGGCTATTGTTTTCGTGCACATGCAGTGCACCAGCAGCCTGTATAAATCATGTCACATTCAGTCTGTCCTGAACACACACACCAGTTGTTGAAAAGCCGGCTGATCCAGGTCGCTCTGCAGGGCGAATTCACTCAAAGCTTTCCACGGAGGCTGGTAGGTCTGAACCTCCACTGGGTTTCCCTGCACGTTCCCCTCGTGTCGAATTGGACTCCCAGCCACAAGTGGCGTCCCCGTGAGGCCCTGCAGGCTCTGAGAATATTTTACAAAAACACACAGAATAAGAACGATGTGTCTCTTTTCTGCAAGGAAGAATTTGTCAACAACTGTGGTGTCCAGAGAACTTCTGTTTATCCTTCTGACCCCTATAAACCCTGCACATGCTCATCTTCATGGACCACTTGTGATGAGTGCAATATTTGTGGGAGGAAAATAAATAATAATAAATAATAATAAATAATAAATAAAGGACGGGGTTTTTATTGAAGTTTTTTTAGGGGCGGAAAAAAGACTGAAAAACTGATCTAATACAGAGAAAGCTTGTATACAGAGAACCCTTTTTATCTTTTATGGCAGGCAGCTGAAGTCAAAGTAGGTGATTTATTATTCATTGACATAAAGTTTGAATACAGCATAGCACTGCAAGGTTGCACTGGGCCTCACTCTAAGTAAAGGTAAGTCGAATCACAAGTTTACAAAAGGTTAAACGCAAAGGATTAGCTTCTACTAATGAAAAATGAAAATTCACAAAGCAAACAAAAAGAAAAAATTCACAAGCTATCAGGTTATTTTCGTGGGAGTTGCATCTGTTTGCAACTTTGCAGGAGAACTTGTATGTCACAAAGATGTATGGCAGCATCAAACAAATAACCGAGTTCACATTCAGGTCATGGCTTTAAATGAAAGAACGATTGAAGATAGTAATTAAGCGGTCAAACTTACGAAGATGCTTACAGTCTTATCGCTCTGCTGCTGCTGCTGGAGCTGCTTCATGAGGATAGATTTCTTTTTGTCTTTGCAGCGCTTGTTCTGGAACCAGACCCGGATCACCCTTGGGCTCAGGCCAGTCATTTCCACCAGCTGCTCCTTCATCAGCGCGTCCGGCCTCGGGTTGGCGTTGTAGCAGGTCCGCAACGTGTGGAGCTGTTTCTCGTTCAGCACCGTCCTGACCCGCGTTGTCTTCTCCGACTGCTTGTGGACGTGGTTCCGATGCGGAGCCTGCCGCACCGTTACAGGATCTGCTGAGGACGGAGAAAGGGTCTGTCAGTGACTGTGACACACTAAGAAGGTCTTGTACAGGAAACATTAATGTTTTGATACAATTACTCTGCAGCCCATTCGTCTCAATCTGTGCACTTTTGCCTTCTAAATCACTTTAGATGGATTTGCATTATGCAGGAAAAACCAGCCATATTCATCAGCCTGACGTGAATTAAACTAAGACAAGAAAAAAAACTCTGCAACGTTTTTAAACCACGTTCCAGTAAACTGCTGTTTAAATCAATATTGCCAGAAATGCCCGCTGCTTTAATTTTTATCTGAAGATAAGAAAAACAATTATGATTTCTACAGTCTCTCGCAGTGTAATAAAATAACGCACAATAAGCGTAAAAATCGATTTGTTACAATTAATAACTGTTTTTCAAGGCTGCACTTTCCGGCTGAACTCACGTAGTGAATCGCTGTCGCCATAAAAGGGAACATTTTTATTAAATGTGAAAAAGGAGCAGCGATGGCACAGCTAGAGACCTGTGTTTTACTGACGTGTACAAACCTGTTCTGTTTTACTAATCAGGAAGTTGTGAGCATAATTCTTACGTTTACTTTATTTTCTTTCTGTGGTCAAACGCCCTCAGGATCTCTGCGAACACACCTACACACACGCACACACTGTCACAGCCGACTCAAATACCAGATTATTCAGATAATGGCAACAGAGCAGGTTACTCCTAACGAGATCAATTATGAAATTAGCCCTAAGAAAGGTCGCAGCACACAGCTGACGCACACAAACACACACACACACACACACACACAGTCCAATCACAACAAATTACTTGCATGCTGAGGAGCGGAAGAAGTTTTAAATAATAATAAGAAGAATAAACCTTGACCATTTTACAAGGATTTTATTCATAATTTGTACATAAACTCTTATAATTTACAAGTTTTTATAAAAGAGCGTTTTTAGGACATAGTTTCAATAAATGCACAGGGCCAACAAGAACAATAATAATAATAATAATAATAATAATAATAATAATAATAATAATAATAACTGACCTGCCAGGTGCAGCGGTCTGTTGGAGTGGATGTGTCCGGGACTGACGGGGCTTCCTGTGGAGCTCCTCTCCAGCAGCAGGCTGTGGTCTGCCCGGCACAGCAGCTCCTCTTCCCGGAGAGAAAACTCGTCTCCCGGCAGCAATTGCCTGCTGCACACGGAGCACCGAAAACACTCGATGTGGTACACGTTATCCCGAGCTCTCATCACCAAATCGCTGCTGCTGAACCCCAGGTTGCATTTTGCGCATTTAATTCCAAACAGCCTGGCAAGAATAGATTCATTGAATAGCATTAAAAATCTGCGGGAAATGTAAATAACAACACACACACACACACACACACACAGACACACACAAACTTTGGGGTGTTCAGTCAAAGATGTAAGTTTTAGCTCTTTTAAGCGTTTAAGGCATCATATCATATATTTTCATTGATAACATGTTAAAGCAGTGTGTAGGCCTAGATATGTTTTTCGTTAGTGCAAAATTTTATAATAAATTGCGCATTTAGGATGTATGTTACAGAGGTGTTCTTGTGATTTAGATTTTATTTTGTGTCCACAGTTCACTCACTTTTTTCACAATAGAAATTGTAATCAATAGCCTAAATACATCCAACATTAAATTTATACCGACTAATATCACTCGATAATTAGGGGATTTTTTTTAATCCTACCTTACATAATCTCTTTTGCAGTAGGTTTTGCCGTCCCGGACGAAACAAGTACAGGTCTCATCCAAGTACTGGCTGCACTCCGCACACTTTAGACAGGCTGCGTGCCACTCCAGATCGGGAGAGACTCTCAGTATGTACTGGTCATGGATCTGACTTCCACATCCTACACACATCGCGAATCCTGGCTTCTCTGCAAAGAGTCCACAGACTGAAAATGCATCCGAAAGAAACACGACAAACAGCTGCACCATTTATTCCTATAATGTTTCACTGTGAGGGGGGGGGTTTAAAGTAACTTCTCTGTTTTGCAGACTTGACAACACTTGCTGTTATGTAACAGCTGGGGACTTTAGCCAGTACTCAAAAAGCAAAATACGGAATCGTTTCGTTTATCACAATCTCACCTGAAACACACAGCCACACAAATTACTTTAGTATTACTGAGAAAATAAGTGAAATAATCGGCGCACTGCCCAATATATCATATAGCCACAGCGACGAAAACAAAATCTGCCACTTAAAACTTGACCGAACAGCTTGGCTTACTTACTTTTGGAATGATCCCCCATATCACCCAAGAAAGAAGAGCTGAAAATAATATCCACCATACAGGACGGGTAGAGGGGATTGTAGACGAGGAAAAGATGTAAGAAGATGAACTGCCCCTTCGCCTGCCTCCCTGATAACTTGTGTCTCTCCGGACTGGAGGGGGGCCGAAGAGGCTGCAGGGTCCCACGCGCTGTTCTTCTGACGTCATTACGTCAACATCGGACTCTCCAATCGCTCCACCGCACCTCTCCTCCATTCTGGCAAATAATAAATAAATCTCGTTGATGTGTATGACTGACAAAAGCGTCGGAGTACAGATGTTCATATTTTGTTTGTTTTTTAACAAAGATAAAATAAAACCGTATAAAGGCAACGAATCATTTTGACTCGTGTTGGTAAGTAAAGTATGTTCATTATCAAAATCCTGTTGAATCATTTACCATTAAAATAAGAAAAAAAACATCTAAATGATCCTTATGTTTTTACTAAAACTACTCTTAAGATTAAAATCCTTCTTTACTCAATGAAATGAGCCTGATTATTAAAGATGATATTATTTAGAGCACCTTGGGAATTACTCGTCAGTGTTCAGCTCGGTTCAGCTGTACTGCATAGATTCAAGAGGTGCAGCATTTCCATATTGCTTCCAATGAATTATTGATTAATCAAATAAACTATCTTAAATATCAGATAGAGCAAACTAAATCTGCCATGGCAAAATATGTTGCCGCTTTCTTCCATATCACATTTGCAAGCCTGGAAGAAAAGTCCGTGCATATTACTGCCCATATCTTCTTTTAAGTGTCTTTGAACCCAAAATAAGACATTAGTTCAGTTATAAGTACTTTTATAAATAAATTCAGTGTTTCTGAGCACAGTCAAAGTCTTCTGCTCTGTTCGGTCTGCTCATCTATGAGAACAAGGCCACCTACTGGAGGAAAACCAGAACTGCGTGTTAAAGGGCAGAAATGAGCGTGGGGCTGAGCATAGCAATTAGGACTGGCATCAAATAAATCAGTTAGTCAATCTACAAGAAAACTAAAGCTAACTAAAGAGAACTACAGATCTATGAATTTCCACAGGTCTACTTTAATTAATCATACAATTAAAGTTTACTGGTCTTTGTGAGTAGATGGAAACAACTAATGAAAGCATTCTCAACAGTCCGAGATGTTGATTTTTACATGTAAGGTCACTTTTCCCAGTTTAATTATATTAAAAGGATCTCTGCATGGGAAAATGAAAATTGTCGGCTCAGCAATTACATTCGGAACCATTGTGACAGTCATTTCCACACTCTGTCAGGGTCAAGTCCATATGCAAAAATTTGATAAGAAATAAATATTGAAATAATTGCAAAACACTCAATTTTTTCTCTCTCCCCTCTCTCTCTGTCTTTTTCTATATGTTCCATAGAATTAGTTAAACCAAACAATTAGAAGCTTTTTGTTCTCGATTTGGACGTCTGAGTTTCTCCTTAGGCAATAATAATCGTTGAATGTTATCTTGTGATGTTTCTGTTGATATTTTTGTTTCTCTTTGTCAGTTTATTTTCAACTCTAGATATTTTTCTGCATCTTCCTCCTCTATATTCTCTCTTGTTTGCACGGGTTTAACAAACACAACAACTGACAGAAGGGCTCCCAAATAAGTGTTGATAATATCCTTCAACTCTGGTTCATGCTAAGGGTAAAAAAATGTGTCCAAAGTTCTGTAAAGAGTTACAGCAGATTCTTTGAGATTTTAACTCATAAAAAGCAAATCAAATTGCACTGCTGCCAGTGGTGCCATCAGCGAGGTGGGAAGAGGGCTGTCATGCCTAATCACCAGAGTAATCCACTTTTTACCACTCAAAATTACCAAAATTAGCAGAAGTAGCTGATTTATAAAGTGTAGCTTTGAGAAATACATGTAGGTTTTGATGGTGTTTAGTTTTCTAGAGAGAATTGAATTTTATTAAATGAAATCTACATTTATAAGCAAAAATGCTAATGGTAAAAAATTGTGATTTTTTTACCATTAGCATACATATAATTATGTATGCTAATGGACAATATCTCTCTGCTGTTCTGCTTTAGAAAAATGAAATCCACTTTCTTGAGTACGTTAAGTCACATGTAAGCCACTTCCTATTATACAGTCTGTGTGCAATGCCTAATATTAAACATTGTATCTTTTACTTAATATCAACAAGAAACATGGTTAGCTGTTTAGCTCCAAACAGAATTTTTTTTTTTTTTTAAAAAGCACTTTTTTCTTGTTTACTTTACTTTCGCTTTTATTTTTGCCTTAATATTGCAAGTAATAAGAATGCACACAAGGAATCATACAATAACGTCATATCTGGTAAACCCAGGCTCACTCTATAGCGTATTCTCTTTTATAATATTATAATATTGATACATTTATATAGTGAAGTGCTTGGATAGACATGAAAGAGCCAGATGTCCAGATATATATTTTATTATGCATATTGGATTTTTCATCGCAATGTTCTCGTGCATATAAAATGTCTTTCTTTTAGATCAGTGACCTAATTTTGTAACCTGTGATTGTTCAATAGAACTGTCAGCTTGCAGATCTAATGGTATTTCAATTGAATTAGGTTGCATTAGACTACATCATAGGTATTCCAATTCAACTCATATTGATCTTTATTTCTAGACTAGGCTTTAGTCTGTTTAGTATTAAAACAATATGTTGTGTGTGACTGATTCAATATGTCTGATTCACCAGCATCGGTCACTTTAGGTTGCATTAAATATAAAATATATTTCAGAAAGCAGTATGATATTCAAGCCACTGTTTTTACCATTTCAGAAGGGGTTTAAATAATAAAGAAAGTTGTTGCTGATATTTTTGAAACCAGACAGAATGGTGTATGCTTTCACATGACCTTTTCGCCCAACCTTAAGTGGGCTCATTATAACCATTACTTTAACTTTCATGGGCTCAGTCATGGTCACTGAAGATCTTTGATGGCTTTGTAAGCCTAAAATGTTATGGTTCTCTTTACAGCCGAGAACTTCCTTTTTAATCCTCCCCCGAGTGTCTACTCACCTGGCTGTTGAACTATTTCAGATCTAATTGAGTTCAAATCTCAAGAAACGTTTGTCAGGGCCATGTATCCTGATCAGGTTTGTGCTAGGCTAAAAGTTAAGTACTATAAATAAAATGAAGGCAATTTATGTCTCTGTCATTGCTACCTTTCCTCCTGAGGAAGAATTATAAAGCGATATCATGGAAATATATCATAATATTAATAAAGAATTGACAAGGCCTGGTCGATTCTGTAGAAACATCCATTACGTTTGGTGCTCTTAATCATTCAACTTTTTTTGGGCAGTGTTTTAGCCAGAATGTGTAGTCTAAAGAATAAAACTCTGAATAAAAAGTATCAGGTACCGTCACTGTGTGGCTAATACTGTGGGGTCAAGGGTTGCGTGTGTTTTATTTATATATTCAGTCTGCAGTGTCAGGAAATATCACACACAGCAACATTGTTTGTGACCTGTTACTGACTTGATCTGGCCCAGCCAACCTAGTTGTCACTCTGGAATAAAAGCCTCCCAGAAGAATCTCTAATCACTGTTTGATGGGGCCCATTAACCTCATGAAATATATATGTGTGACTGAACTCATCCACTTAAACTTTGGCAAGAGCCAAATGTTCTTGTTTGGAATTCAGTTGGGCATTCCCGCTCCGCATTACTGAACTTTTCACAGTGACTCGTTTGCTCTTGAATGTTTTGGGTTCGATGGCACTTTGCCTCCATTGTCAGACCTATAAGTTATTTACAACGCCCATCCGTTCAAACCCTCCACAAGCTGGATTCAGTTGACATTGTGCCAGTTTGTATATCTCTGCTGGAGCATCTTTTTTTCTTTCATATCGACACACATTGTTATAATTAAAAAGATATGTGTCATTTTTCCAAAAGCATTTTTCATTTTGGACATGTTGGACTTGTTCATGAAAAGTTAGAACAACTGAGAACATGTTTTTTTGTTTATTCATCATGTCTGTCGTATTTGCCAGGCCACAGTGTGTACATGTGTGATTTGCTCATGAATTGCCTGTCATTGCTGATTTAAATGAAGCTTGGTATGTATTAAAAAAGTAAATGAAGTTTTAATATATACAGTCTCAGAGGGGAAAAAATCTCACACCTCAAGTCAGTTTACATTTATATTTTCACATTAATTAAGGGGCTGAACAGCAGAGATAACATCATACTACTGTGTGACCTGGTGAATGAACTGAATTTTGGATGTTATGCAAATTTTTTGTATATGCAAATGTGAGGTTTTGTGATGTGTGTGCATTCCTTTGTGTATGGCTGTGTGTGTCTTTTTCGCTGCATGTGTGTTGTGACATAACTGCTGTCTTTCTCCCCAGTGATGTGCAGATTTGCCATAAGCCGAAAATTGTAATGGACACACTGTTTATCTGTCTCAAACCAATGACTCAATGCATTTTTTTATGCAGTGTCATTTAAAAAAAATTTTTATAAAAACCAAACACAAAAATCATGAACTGGAATATTTTTAATAATCACTTAAAATTCACTTTTAATTGAAGATTACTTTTATCTGATTTAAATACACCCGTTTATTCAAATAAAAATATACATAACTGATACATAATAACCAAGACTTCTACTATTAGTGTAACACATTTTACCCCTGCATAAGATTTTTTGACATGCTCATTTAAATATTTCCGCTAAAAAAAAAATTCATTCAAACATCCAGATTCTAAGATCTGATCAAAATCTTCTGAAGTCACTGTAATTATTTCAGTACATAACATTGTTTTTATTGTTGTGTGTTTTTCAGTGTTATAGGCTCAAAAATGCCTGTGCTAGAAAAAAAAAGAGCACAAAAACACTTCCTTTATGCAAGTGAGGTCGTTCTGAGAGGGTAACCATGTTGCAGATTTATAATTCATCATTCTTCAGAGTTAATGCAGTATTCACGTGATAATTAGTATTAATTTTTGATTGGTGCCTCAGGGCAGCTCTGCATTGTTGGACTGAAAAACCTGCACCATTATTACCTTATTAGTGTAACTGTCAGCCGCCTGTTTTATTTTACAAATGCACATCTTGTATTTTTCTTATCAGCTGCTCTCATCAGCACAGAG